TTAACAGTCCGAATATTTTCCCAACCTCTGTCCAAAACTATTAACAATGTAATTACATATGCGAATGGTATGAATCAGTGTCCTCTCCCAGCTATGGGTTAAATAGCATTATTATAATACCGTGTCTGGGAGTTCCCTTAGTTTACTTTCTGTGTTTGTTAGCAATGTTGTCAGCATATCTCATGTGGTTCAGATTGTACCTCCTAATAATAAATGCTGGTTGGATTTTTTTTTTGGTTCTTTTAAAACCGGATCGCTGTGAAGATTGAATAAATCCGGTGAGAAGGCTCAACCTTGCCTTACGCCCTTTTCTATGTTTGTGTACTTTTCATTTTTTATCAGCATTTGCTCCTCGTATAAGTTCTCAATTATATTAATATACTAGATTAAAAGCCACCCTATCGGGCAGCATTTAAGCTGGCTGATGCGGAGGTCTCTTGATTGAGCCTTCATCCCAATAGGTAGGGAGAAGTAGATGCGATAGGCAACAATAAACTACAGAAGAACTCAAAATTTATCGCAGCATTTAAGTATTGTATTAATATTTAAGCTGACCTTTTTAAATTTCAACGATTGTTCTTCTGTCGCCACATAATTTAAAGACAGTTTGATGTACGTAGAACCTTATTTTCCGTACAAATATTTATTTTTATTTCATGGGTGACTTTCGCTGGATTTCACAATTAATTTCGATTATTCCTAAATTCATTTCTAATTTATAAGAATTGTTATCGTAAAAAAAATTCGTCGCAAAAAATCACGTAAAAAAACAATCGTAGTAATGAAAACTTAAGAACAGTATTTTTTTCATTTGAACATGAGTTATTGAAACTTAGAGAGTTGTGTCCCTTTAATAGTTTTTAACAGCAGAAGCCAAGATGGGCAGTATCAGAAAACAATCGTAGTAATGAAAACTTGGGAATCCAAAATTTCAGGATTCTGGGCTTCGCCCCGGCCCGAAATGTTTTATTTTTGCTCACGGAGTTAGCCTGATTTCAAAATGTTAATATATATATAGGGCTACGACCTCTAGGAGTAAAATTGAAAACACGGACAATTTTATTTTGAAATTCTAATTTAAGAACAGTATTTTTTCATTTGAACATGAGTTATTGAAATTTAAAGAGTTGTGTCCCTTTAGTA